TTTATCCACAACAGTCCTGGGGATCTCAAGTCCTGCGCCCTTGTCTCCCCCCGGCTCGCATCCTCAGCGCAATACCACCTTTTCCACGAGGTCCGATTTGGGAACGGCATAAAATGGAACGACGCGGGGGCCTGCCAGCGATTTTGCGCAGTTCTCAAGACTTCCTCGCATCTCGCTCCGCTCATTCACCGGATTCGGGCCTGTTTTACGCCCGATGTCCTTAGCCGGCTTTGCGAAGTAGAATTTCCGAATTTGCACGACCTCGTGCTGTTCCGGCCGTTGAGGGACAACCTGGTCGCCAACGCCATCCCACAAGCGGCGCGTCTCATAGGCACTCCGTCCCTCCGCTACCTGAAGCTGCAGGATCTGGTGTTAGGACACATCGACAACGTCGCACAGCTCTTTCAGCATCGCACCCACGCCATGGAGTCGCTTGCTCTATCTCATATTAGCGTCAGTAAACCCTCTGAGACGTTTACACCTGATTACCACAATGCGAGGCTAAAAATCAAGACGCTGAGCTTCGACTCCATCATGTCCGGCAACAGTCATTTGTGGCTGCTTCATCCCCAGATACCGTTCGATTTTTCAGCACTCGAGGACCTTGACCTTGGCGGCTCATTGTCGTCCTCCTGCCTCAGCCTGCTAGAACACAGCCGGCTTTCGATCTGCAAACTACGAATCTACGCTCGTACGTTGCTCCTCCCATCCTCCCCATTCTGTAGCTTTAATAACAAGCAATATCATGCAGAGGATGCAGTCAATCCGAAATACACCAATAGTCCGATACCTTTTACGGTCATGACGCGGCTTCCCGTGCTCACGCACCTAACGATCGGAAGCCTCGGGGAGGAGCTACAAGACGTGGAGACCCTTCTCGAGGGCTTGCCCCCGACAAACTGCCTTGCACGTCTGACGATCGACATCATGACGCGGCCCCGGGAGGATGGGCTGCGGCAGCTTGGCGTCGCATGTGCGAGCATGGGCATGGGGTGTACGGTCGAGGTGCATCTGTGGCGGTTTATGAGTCGTGGAATGAGCACGGGCGACATGACGGACGTGGTATGCACCGCCTTTGTGGAGCTAGATGAAAGGGGGAGCCTGGTGGTGCGAGTGGATGGTGGTAAGTACCATATTTCGTTTCAGGCGCAGTTTATTCATTTCATGCGCAGTTTTTGGCCCCGATTAGATGCGTAGTCTCCGCACATACATCCCCCGGAATCGGCTATCTGGCCGTTCAGTTATTCGAGATCCTCTCCGTGGTATTCCAGAGTTTCTAGTGACCCTCTTCTATTCGAACTCCTCTACGAAGAAATGCTTGGGATCCACGCATCCGGCGAGCTGATCTCTTTGACATTCCGATTCCCGACAACCGTACTTCGCATACCCTGCTCCGAGGCATTCCTGCTCGGTGTCACACTCCGTATCAGTGCATCCCCGAAAGCTCGCCCGTTCAATGTCGATTTGGCCGCTAGGATACCTCAATACCTCGGCGCGTTGTTGATGGTGACCCGGGGAAGGACGCCTCACCGGCGATATCGTCAAGGCTGAGCTAACTTGCCTTGCAGCAAGACGCGGGCCCTCGCAGACCTCGACGACGACGAAGTCGTCGCACGCCTGCAGTATATCGCCTCGAAAACACCCCGAGTAAACACAACGACCTCAGCGAGGCACCAACTATCAATCCGATTATCAGCAAACTCTTAGGGTCCGCCGTCTTTGACCCCAGCTTTTCGACCGTGAATTAATCTCCACTGCGGCAGGCGGGCCTCGCAGACCTAAACTACAACGAAGCGATCGCACCCCCGCAGCATACCCTGCGTTCCGACCCTCCCTAGACCCACCTCAGTCGGGGTCTTCGTAGGTCTGTGCAGCACATGTTTAGGTCAGTGTAGGCACCCAACAGGCCCTGTGTAGGCAGCTAGACACCCGCCTTTGGAACGTATTTTAGCATGCTAACTTGTCTGCAGACATTTGTGCTCGAGGTATTTCAGCTGGTTGATTTGCCGTTCAAGTCTTGCTCCGTCGCCGGGCTCATACCGGTCAATCTACTCGCGCCCAAATTATCACACTTTACTGACTTATCCGCAGACACGTTCACTCGCGGTCAACTCGCCGAGCGGCCATCGCCGAGCTGCCCGATAGCCCCGGATTGTATATTTGACGTCCATGTCTGCCGAGTTGACTTCGACCCACACCGAAGCAATAGTCAGCAACCTGCCGTGCAAGCCTATTCGACTTCTTTACTGACTTCGTATCTCTGTAGGCTTCTGTGCTCGCCGCATTTCAAGGAATGCTCGTCAGACTGGCATGTGGTTGGTTCAATAGACATTGAGAATGTCGCACTACCCGAGGCATGCCTCTAATTTGTATACTGATTTAGTTCGCACTGATATAAGTCCAGCCGACAGCCAGGCAATCGCTGCCTCGATTCAATTTTACTCCCTCGAGTTATCGAGAGTGAGTTCAACTCATGTCGAGGTCAGTCAACTTGCGTTCGAAATCATTGTAATTCATTTACTGACTCGTGTGCAGACCTTCTCCCTCTGCCTTCAAAATGTCCTGAATGTTTGAGCTGCTGGAAGTTTGCGAGGTGGGCTCTCGGCTCGTTGTAAGTGCGCCAAATTTGAGTCAGTTGAATTCCTGACCTCTATTAGACACCGTTCGATCTTAGCTTCGCAACCTACACACACACTGGCAGACTCGACAAGCAGTCAGTTCGATTCAAGGTACGATTTTGTCTTGAGGTTCATTTCAAGTGACGTATCTGAGGGCTATAGCCTCGTCGACAACTTTGCTTGCCTGGCGCGAATGACTGCAAGTTGAATTCAAGCAGGTTCAACCTCAGTCCGGTTCTCGAGGTACAAATTTCGACTTGATCTTTACTTCAAATCACTTATGTCGGGTTACGCTAGAACGAACGTTGCAGCTGTAACTGAGCAGTTCAAGTGTGGTTTAGCCTTGGTCAGCACTTGGCATTCCAACATATTCCAACTTACCAACTTGACCTTGTCCGCAGGGCTCTTTCTTCCTTCACTGAGTTCAAGTCATTTCCAATGGATGCACTATTGAGTATTTCCAAGGTAAGCTCCCTCGCTTTCGTGCTCGTCTGGCTAGCATTAACATTTGTCTACAGTAGTTCAACAAATCTTGTCTCACTGGTTGACTCGGCTGCCTTGTAGCGTTCAATTATAGTTGGCTACGTTACCCAGTTTAAATTCAACTCATCCCGAGACCTCTCGCTACAAATAATCTCGACGCATCGTGGTCTTTAATGTAGAGATAAGTGGACTTGAGATCTGGTACCCATAATTATCGGACCGACTTGGCTTGTAGCGAACGAAAACTACCCGTGCAGTTCGAAAAATCCCATCGTCGGCACAACTCAAGCTCAAGCCTTGTCAATGAATCCGAGCCAATTCGAGGTTTGTTCATTTTCGTGAATTTCGGACATGCCCTGAAGGATGTATCACACCTTGAGCGTTGAATTCAATGCTGTGGCGCGGTAATTGACGTGCGTGAGCTTCAGCCCTGAATATCGTTCAGTGTATACGCTCCGCCTCCGCATCCGCGATGTCTGTTCTCGTGCTCCTCCTCGATTCGGTCTTGAGGGCCGAGGCTTCAAGGCATCATCCCGCACAATTCCGCACGACCTCGAACGCACAGTGAGTACTAGCAGATTGCTACGGACGGCATATGTACGTGCATTTTTTTTATTAGCGTTCGCCGTCGGCGCACACGGTAGGCGCTCTCGACGCCAGATGTGAAGAGGGTCCCGCCTCCTGCTCCACATCCCGCTCCAACGCGTTCCGCGCACGCACATCGCCGCCCTGCTGTCTGCGCGGTGAATTGCGACAACTCGCTGGCAGCGCCGCCCGCCGCTGTCCGTGGAGACGGCCCTTCCGAGTTCTGTGCAAATCGCCGCCAACCACCGGCCGGTGCGGGGCGCAACGTGCGTCATGCGCGCCGACCTGAGCACACGATACCACGTGCGGCATGCGGGGATGAAGCGCGGACGTGCACGGTGGGGGAGGGTATCGGACGCGTGCATCTGCGCAAAACGGTGGATGGAGGGCCTGAAGAGGACTCGAGGTGGGATAGCATGCGTGCGGAGGCCTGAGTGCACGCGGGGACCGGGGAGTGTACTGATGGTGGAGAAGGGGATGAGGGGCGGGGCCCGGACGACGAGCAGCAGAAGGCCTGCCCCTAACCCTACGCTGCTGATTTGACATCAGGAAATCAACAGGAGCCGGATAAGGGCGGGTAGGGCTCATTCTAGAACTCCGTGAACCCTTACCCGCACCATCTTCAGTCTGGCACCGATTCCGCAACCCGGACTTGTTGGCCCTAGTCTCGGACACTCCATGTCTGGTCCTAGCTCTCCTCCTATCCAGCTTCCGCCTGCGACGGCTCGATAGTGTAGTGGAAACGCACTCCGTATCCTTTCACCCCAGTGTTTGACTTACGGAAAGTCCGGAGTTCGATCCTCCGTCAAGCCCTTTTCCCGTGTTACCCACCTTTTTTGATTACTTCAGGCCGTTTGGTATTCGCGACTCGATGGCGTAACTGTAACACATCCTGCCATGGTTCTTGCACAAGCACGTCTTTTGCAGGAAGTCCGGAGTTCAATCCTCCGTCGAGCCATCCCTCTTTTCCATTCCTTTTTCATGCGCCTCTTACCAGACCTTCGCATCGCTCGCACACATGGTCCAGTGGCGTAGTGGTAACGCACTCTGTTTGCGTAGCTGGCGGGAAACTGAAATCATGGAGGGACCGGAGTTCGAATCTCCGACGGGCCTTTATCTTCTTTTTGTCCGTCGAGTAAGAAGATAGGGCGCGTTTTTGAACGGTTCAGTGGCGTAATGGTAACGCACTCCGCATTCCTATGTAGTTCGCGGTATGCTTCACGGAAAGTTCGGAGTTCGATTCTCCGCTGAGCCATTATGAAGAAAACCCTTCTTTTTCATGGCGATAGTTTTGGCTGGTCTTTTGATTCCTACGGCTCGGTGGCGTAATGGTATCGCACTCCGTGATCTAATGGATTTTTATATCGATTGACGGAAAGTCCGGAGTTTGATTCTCCGTCGAGCCATTCCGACGGAAACCCTTCTTTTTACGGTGATCGTCTTGGCTGGTCGTTTGACTCCTACGGCTTGATGGCGTAATGGTAACGCACTCCGTAAATATGCACATTTTATATCGATTGACGGAAAGTCCGGAGTTCGATTCTCTGTTGAGCCATTCCGATGGAAACCCTTCTTTTTATGGTGATCGTCTTGGCTGGTCGTTCGACTCCTACGGCTTGATGGCGTAATGGTAACGCACTCCGTAAATATGCACATTTTATATCGATTGACGGAAAGTCCGGAGTTCAATTCTCTGTCAAGCCGTTTGACGGAAACCGTTCTTTTTTGCTCGGCCATTCATATGGCTTGTTGGCGTAGTGATAATTGACATTTTTGGTAGTCTGGTCATGGCTTGGTGGCGTAATGGTAATGTGCTCCGTGTACCTAACGTTCTCATATCGGCTGATGGAAGGTTCGGAGTTCGATTCTCCGTCAAGCCATAACCTTTTACTTGGAGTCGGTCCTTTGTGGTCTTGAGTTCGAGTCTCTAATGGCCTGTTGGCGTAATGGTAACACATTCCGTGCACCTATAGCATTCGTATATCAGTTGACGGAAGGTTCGGAGTTCGATTCTCTGTCAAGCCACTAGTTGGGTCCAGATATCATTTTTAGTTGAAGGCTTAAGGCGTTGTTCTCGGAGTTCGGTGTTTTGAGGTCACGTCGGGAGCTATCACAATGTGATGGCTCACACCGACCACAAACGGGGGCGCGTCGCGTCGTCAAACTAGGGCACATACTGCAAATTTGAGTCAGCAGTTCCCTCTGGGGTATGTGCGAATGTGTGCAAAGCAAGACTGAGTGGTCCCAGATGCAGCGAGCAACGAAAGCTGGCCAGTCTGCGCTGCAACTCGTCAAACAGTTATTTTTGGAATGAAATCACATCGTGTACACGCTGTATGTCCGTGAATTCTATTCTGTGTACCTGGTGCCCTCTGGATGAGTATGAAGCTATTATAAATGAGCCCACTAGATATTTGGAGGGGATTCTCTCATGTAGTAGAAGATCTTGTTGATAACACCAAAATATTCAATCTGGTCTATTACAGTGGTGCTACACAAAATGTGAGGAGGCCATGCCCTGCAGAATCACAATGTGATTCCAGTCATATAATTTTCATGCGTGCAAAGTAACCATTGCGGCCAGGGCGGTCATCCTCGTCGTGGGATCAAAAATGTCTTAAAACGGAAAAATTTGGGCCGCGCCCTATGTTCTGGAAGAAGCTGTAAACTGTGAACCGGAATAGCCCATAGCATGAATAGGCAGTGGAGTGGGTCGTAGGATTTGTTCATATACTCACCGAATTCCATCGCCGACGGCGTGCAAGGTGGACGTACATCCGTCCGTGTAGCTGCGTATAAATGCGTGAGTAGCTGGTGCACGTCGATCCGCGGCAGCCGGTGGCACAGGCATGCGAGGGGTAGGCTCACGTGCACTGCACTGATTCAGTGATTGCACTTCGGGTGTGCAATGCACAGGCCCCGCGAGGTGCCAGCGCGAGGTACAGTCAGACTGCCCTGTGAGGTGGAGGCCATGTACATCTGCGGGAGGTGGGAGGCGCGAGGTTTAGCTGCCAGCTCCAGCAGGAGGTAGAGCACCGTGCTGCAGCACGAGAAAAGGCGCAAGCATGCACACATGTGCACAGCATACGGCCGTACGAGGTACAGCAGCGTGAGGTGCAGCCTGACAGCCACGCAAGGCACAGACATGTGCGGAGAGCAGCGCAGAATCAACGAGCGCCTTGATTGGCAGCCACGTGCCTGGAGTGTCTCAAATGCCACGAGGCATGTCGGAGGGCACTGCATGTGTATCACCATGGCAGCGCCCTGAGCAGGTCGGTCGACGCAAGTGGGAACACAGCACTCACGCCCACGACATACTTCCTCGAATCCCGCAGCGTAGCACGTAGAGGGACAATGAAAGAAGATAGAATGGAACGCACCCTCCCCATGAAGCTGCCAATCGAACCGCCCGTGTATGGAGCCATAAAGGAAGATGACTGTGTGGGAGTTGGAGTTATGGGTGACTTGCACGGCATGCATCGACATTGAGATAGATTGACACTGATCGCCATACTTGCCGAGCATGATGACCGTCGTCGCCGGAGTTCTGCCCAGGCGGTCGAAGGAGCACAAAGATGCAGGCAGAAGGTACTACAAAAGCGCCCTTGCTCCCGCTGAGAACTGCGAAGACATGCTGAGTGGATCTTGCTCGTATGAGTGCAGAATAGTATTTCAGGAGGAAAGGCCATGGATGAACTTGAAGAAAGTCCGAGGCGCAGGCGAGAAGCGCGAAAATTTCTAGTTTCTGGACAGCTCGCAGAGTGGAAATGAAGCTGGAGGCACGGCCACGGAACACCGCCACTGATTGGGATCATCCTCTGTTTTTTTTTTGCAGTGCATTAGATTGTGACAATGAGCACATAACAGCAGTTATGGTCATCCCCTTGGGTCTAGGCTTTCGCCCCCTTTTGGGCCAACATTGGTTGTGCAGCACAATCACACAAGGTAGTCTTTCTGGGAAACGTGACCCGAAATATTGTTGTGTGACTACTACACCAGGAAGGAATGCCTTTATGCAGACCATTGTCTTTTATAGACGGTACTGTGGGACTCGGCTGACAACACAATACCCACTAAACCTCCTGATGGTATGAGGCTGAAGGAAACTTCCGACAGCAACCGGCACGTGGCTCAGCTTGTCACTGGCATATCCACGAAGCCAACACTGCCGGCAAGTGCCATGACCGTGGGTTCATGGCATTTGATTGGCAGAGCACCGACACTTGCCATGGCGTTGGCCAGGCATTGCACAAATCCCTTTGTTCCTTTGTCGGCGTGGGAAGTCGGTCTGCCTTCCGCGGCTTGCAATCGGTGATCATTCGGCAATCACTTCCACCTTGTAACCTTGAGGCTTTCTGATTTTCTCGACCACTCCGGAGTCCAGAAAATATATTGTTCTTCCCATAAGTTAGTTCTACAAAAGCTTTTTCTTGTTTGTCACTTTCCCGAAGACTTCTCAACATGTAGCCAATTTTGCATGGGCACCGGGTTTCAAGCCGCATGCAAAACAAATTCATTGCACTGCAGGGGTTGGTGCAGATAAAGGCCACAAGATGTACCGGTAAGTTTTGCCTTGGGCTCTCAAAGTTTCCCTGATCCAGTTCGGAATGAGATGACGGCCAGCGAGTAATGAGTGAGCCAAGGGGAGAACTTCTCATTGCGTTTGAACTTGAACACCGGACTTTCCCATGCTGACAAAGGAACAAAGGGATTTGTGCAATCCCTGGCCAACGCCATGGCAAGTGTCGGTGCTCTGCCAATCAAATGCCATGAACCCACGGTCATGGCACTTGCCTGCAGTGCAAATAGTGGTTTTACCGGGATTCGAACCCTCGCGGGACCCGGGACTTCCAAAACTAATTAGAAGTCAGAACAGCATGTAACCACTCCACCATGCTGCCCCCATCCTCTGTGAACTTGAGGGTGTTTCATATCTGCGGACACCCTCGCCCTCTCCCGCTCACTGCACATGGTCGTAGCGGCGCGTCTGGTGTCGCTGCAGAAGAATCAGGTGCAGCCGGTGGGTCCTTTTCTGGGTCTTGGAATTTCATGCCGTGCTGTCCTCTTCCTTCCTTCCCTTTCATTGCCCACCCTGCAGCCGTCCACCTCTTCGTTTCCACCCTCCTTCATCTGCATCAAGCCATGTCCCGTTCTGTCTTCCTGCTTGATGTACCCCACACACGTTCCGTCACCTCCACTTCCCCCTCCCCTTCCCCCTTCCCCACCTTCTCCGTCATCCCCGTCATGCGTCGAGCCTCGTACTTGGTAAAATGCCACTTCTCCTTCGCATCCTCGTTCAATGCTCTATCTGCATCTGCACCTTCCTTGCACCTCCTCCTTCACTCCTCCTTTGCTCCTCCTTCCTCCTCCGTCCATCCTTGACTCTTTCACTCCTCCTTTCCTGCTTTATTCACCACGCATCGTAATGACTGACTCCTTCCCCTCCCTCCCCTCACAGACCTGTGCCCAGCCCAATCCCTGTGGAAGCAGGAGGCGCATGCATCGCCCTTCAGCGCGCCGCATGGATTTGGGCGGCAGTCAATTGGTGCGGAGGTGTGTTCTCGCTCTTCATTGTTTTGTGACTGGTGATGGAGGCTGACACGTCACTTGTAGACTAGGCAGAACAGGGACGAAGACAAGAGCGAAGAGGAAGAGGACGTGGTGCCCATGGACGTGGACTCCCCGCACATGCAGGAGCAAGAGGACACGCTGCTGTACAGGACCTCGTGCGCGTGGCACGGTGTGAGGGTGCTACGCACCCTACATGTGTCACGACGGACTTACCGGCACCACGCGACTTTGGGACGAAGGAATATCCGGATTGGGCTTCCTGCTTGCCGGAAATGGACATCGTCCAACCAGGCCGTTCGAGCTTTCGACTATCCTTAGGGCACCGCGCGACTGTTCACGAGGGCCGAACGACCGCCCTCTCTGGCCATACACCCTGACTAAAGTACCATGACACCACGGGAAACTTGCTCCGATGGGATCACCACCTTCACCGAATGTCCACAAGGGACGTTCTTCGCGGACTCCCTTTCCAGCCCACATACTGACCTGGAGAGCATCAAATCCATGTCCAGGATGGCTCCCCCAGTCGCCCACGCCTCCCACGCCTCCAGGAATCCCCATGAACTCGCTGAAGGGCAGTTCGTCCCAGAAGGCCGTTCCCCAATTCTCCTTCCGTTACCCACCTGAAACTGTTGGACCCCGTTTCAGCCCCTCCTCGTCACATAACGCATGACCCAAAGGAGGTAGGGGAAAAGGTATAAAAGGGAGACGGAAACGGACCCAGTAGTCAGTCGTTCACACCTGGACATCGGTTCCCCCGCACTGTTCTACAGTGTACCTTAGTCCACACCCAAATACAACCACTCACTTGCTTCACAGCACTTTACTTCTAACC